ATGCAGTAAGTTAAGATACTCTCTATGATGCAATGGTAAAAGGTCACCAGCAGTTTTTCATTCAGTTGTTTTCTGAGAAGTCTCAGCTAGTATAATCTCTGCTGGGCCCTTTTGACCAGTGCTGCAATGTGGGCACCCCAGGTCAGGTCCTCTTTTATGGTAACACCCAGAAATTTAAAACTGGCCACTTGTTCCACTCAGTCTCCATTGATAAGCAAGGGCTGGATGTCTAATCTGTTCCTTCTATAGTCCACTATAAACTCCTTGGTCTTACTGGTGTTGAGGACCAAGTTATTGTCTTCACACCACAAAAGCAACCGATCCACCTCATCTTGGTAGGCAGACTCATCCCCCCCGGAGATGAGTCCCGCCACTGTTGTATCATCTGCAAATTTAGTAATAGTATTACTAGCGTGAGTGGGAATGCAGTCATGCACATAAAGAGTATAGAGTAAGGGACTCAACACGCAACCCTGTGGTGTAGTAGTGTTAAGAATAAGGGTGGAAGAGGTATGATTACCTAATCTGACCCTCGGCCAGACAGGAAATCCATAATCCAAAGGCTGATTGAGTAAGAAAGTCCAAGGTCCAGAAGTTTAGACACTAGTCTATGTGGAAGAATTGTGTTAAATGCAGAACTAAAATCTACAAAAAGCATCCTCACATAGTCCACCCCCCACTGTTCTAGATAACACAGGGCAGTGTGAAGAGTGATGGCTATAGTGTCCTCTGTAGATTTATTTCTTCTGTATGCAAACTGGTGTTTATCAAATGTATGCGGAAGACCAGAAATGATGTGCCAGCAGACCAATTTTTCAAAGCACTTCATGATGATAGGAGTGAGTGCCACTGGTCTGTAATTATTGAGGTTATTGATAGGGAACTTCTTTGGCAGCAGAACAATGGTGGAAGCCTTCAAACAAGATGGAATAGTGCACTGGGATAAAGACCGATTGAAGATCCTGGTAAAGACTCCAGCCAAATGATCAGCACAGTCTTTAAGCACTCGGCCAGAGATACCATCAGGACCGGCAGCCTTTCTAAGGTCCACAGCCCTCAGAATGCTCCTTACCTCCTGTTCCTCCACAATGAGGTAGGGGCTACAATTGGCTGGTGGTTGTATTTTATCTGTCTCTGATGTCTCCACTTCAAAGCGAGCAAAGAAATGATTAAATTCCTCTGCCAATGAAGCATTCCCTTCAGCAGGGATGACATTAGTCAGTTGATGGTTGGTAATTCGTTGAATCCCTTGCCACACCTGCCTCATGTTATTGCTATAAAAATTACCCTCAATCTTCCTCTTATAATCAGTCTTGGCCTTCCAAATACCTTTCTTCAGATTAGCTCTGGCAATACTATATCTTGTCCCATCACCGGACCTAAAGGCCTTGGTCCTGTCACACAAGAGGCGCTGGACTTCCTTGGTCATCCAGGGTTTCTGATTGGGATAGATCCTAATACGTTTATCCACAGTGATAGTATCTATACAGTGTTTGATATAGCACAGAACTGTTGCAGTGTGCTCCTCTAGGTCAGGGTGGTAAAAGATGCCCCAATTTATGTTCTCAAAACAATCCTGAAGTTGTAGGGAAGCATCTTCTGGCCAAGATTTCACTGTCTTTATTATAGGCAAAGGCCTTCTCCTAAGAGAGATGTATGCTGGTGCTAAAAGCAGTGACATATGGTCTGATTGTCCCAAATGTGGTAATTGTATAACCTTATAGCCATGTTTGATGTTTAATGCTTTTATATCTATGATTTAATACTATTTTAAGCCACCCAGTCACTTGAGACAATGAGATGGGTGGCGTACAGGTAGTTTTTGACTTACAATCACAATTGAACCCCAAATCTCCATTGTTAAACAAGGCAGATGTTAAGTGAATTTTGTCCCATTTTACGATCTCTTTTGCCACAGTTGTTAAGTGAATCATGCAGCCATTAAGCAAATCTGGCTTCCTCATTAACTTTGCGTGTTGGAAACTGGCTGGAAGTGGTGATCAGATGACCCTGGGACAGTGCAATTGTCATATATAGATGCCAGTTGCCAAGCACTCAAATTCTGATCACCCGATGCTACAATAGTTGTAAGTAGGATGCTGCAATAGTTGTAAGTAGGAAAAAGTGTCATGTCACTTTTTTCAGTGTCATTGTAACTTCAAATGGTCACTAAACAAATAGTGGTAGGTCAAGGGCTACCTGTATAAATTTAATAAATAAATAAATAAATAAAAATACAATAAAAATACAAAAGTGGCCAGCTTGGAAAAGAAGACCATTGGAATCAGGAAGTTGAAATACTAACAATCGGAGATCTCAAGACATGATTTTCATAAGCAAAAGTGAAGACATAGAAATCATGAAATAAACACAGAAATTAAAAAAAAGTCTATGCTAATGCCTATTAAGAATATAAAGCTGATTATTTAATAAACTTACAACTGAATTGAAGAACTTAAGACAGTAATTATTTTTTCAGGCTGCAGAATCAATAAAGATAGTGAAAGAACAATAAAAACTGCAGTATAGCTTTCTTGGCAATATTAACAAAACAGCATGCTAGTGCTTTCTGGGATTTTTCTGGATTTTTCTTCTCTTTTTGAAGTATTTGCTCAACCTGGGCCATTTCTCTAGTAGTGATGATCTCACACCCAATTACTAAGCAGGTCAAGCCCTGTTTAAATTTTCCTTTTTCAAAATCAGGTAAAGTCAGTTAAGGGCTATTGTCTAATCCGAGGCATAGAGACAATGACAATTTTAGACAAGATCCTGAAAGTAAGGACAATAAAGAGGCACAAACTCATCCACTTCAGGAATGAGATGTGAATAGAAAGAAACAATTATGTTCGAAAGGGTTGAAAGAGTAATAAATCAGTGGACAAGACAGATCAGGGCTGTCAATCTCATGGCTGTGGGCCAGATGAATTACGCGCTGGCCATGCCCACGCCTGGTTTAGTAAAGGGGGAAAAAGTCACAATATGTCACCTGACAATGCCCTGAAGACACAAGTTTGACAATCCTAAGATAGATGAAAGGGATAAAAAAGATTAGCGGAATAGATTTGGAAGAGTTATTGTTAAAGATAGGTCAAGAAGGCAAGCATTTGTCTATAATCAGCAGGAATCAAACCCAATTTGAAACCTCCATTGTGCAATGACCATGTAATGGTCAGCAATAAATACAGTATTTTTGTCTAGTCAATTTCAACAACCATGATCTTCATTAAAGATTTTCAGGAAGATATAAACAAAATAGAAATAAAACTATTTTTTCTGTTCTATATAGGTGAATGAAATCATGAGGAAGAAAAAAGAAACCATTGATAGCATTGAATGCGTTATTTATTTATAGCACATGCATTCTTGTAATTAAATAGCACAAAAACATTCCTCTCCTTTTGTATAACTTTTTATATTGATGGCTGCTACCACTTTTGGCAATATCTAGCAAAATAATTAGCAATGAAATATCCCTCTCTGCATTCAGGAAAGTTTCCTATGTGTCTTTTACATATTAAGGAACAGCAGCCTATTTCGCCTAGGATTGTTTGATTGAATAAATGTCCTTAAATTCCCAGAACTGCTTTAATATATATTATTACTAATTAAAAACAAATCACTGGAATTATAATAACTATTCCATCTCAACAATATTTTAAGAAGTTTGGAAGTGCAAGAATGAGTTGGTTAGAATCATGTAATCTATTAAAACAACCCTTTGCTGTACTTGATTTTGACTAAGCACATCAATGACTCGGCATGGCACATGCATCAGGTCCTAATTTGTTTTAGCTGCATATTAGTCGGAAACACTTATTTATGGTATCAATGCTTATGGCCAGATGTTGTCTGCAAAGAAAAACTTGCTTTCCAATACTTATTTGTATTTTGTTTTTAAGTACCACACTAGTTTTTAATCTATCCACAGATGATTAATGCAAATGATAGCAAATCAAACTGAACTTAAACCAGCCATGCTTATTTTACTACTTTACAAAACAAAATTTTATTTCAACATAACCATTTGGAGAGTGTTCAAAATTGTACCTCGAAATTTATACATGAAACAATCTACAACCAGGTTTAATGTTTTATGGAACCATCGGAATTGTCTTTGAGCCCTGATGCAAGTAGATTGTTCTGGTTAAAATGAATAGAAAATAATAGAAAAGCATTTGAAACAATTGTTTTCTTGATATGTTTTACATTTGAATTAAAAATTGGTTTCTATTAAAAAAAAATATCTCAAAGAGCAATTCTTACCAAATTGGCTCTAAAAATGGGCCTGGAAGTACCATCTATTCCACCACTGATGCCCATTCATTCCACTAATCGGACAAAACCCATTGTATGTTTTCAGTATTTCTAGGTGAAGTATCTTTTCATAAATGCATTTTCTATATTTGTCTCAAGTTTTTACTGCTTTTAAAAAATAAACCAAGCATAATCTTCAAGTTTGAAAATGTTTTATGTCTGGTCTAATTTGTTCCTGTTCTTTTATCTTTTGAAACATTTTCCACTGTTAATGCCTGACATTTGTTTGCTGGCATTATATACTGTTAACTCCATTCTTTGGTTAATCTCTTAAACCAGCTGTATAGGATAAGTGGAAATCATAACCAGAACCTTAACCCTATGAAACCTTTAGGTTTAATTACAATTCAGAATTAAAGCTACCACATTGTCTACCAGTTAGACATTAAAGTTGCTCTAACAACTGTCTTTCTGCAACTTTTTGACACTGAACTTCCAAAGCTGGTAGAAAGATGTTGATCTGAAAACGGATATGAACTAGGGCTCTGTGTGCTTCAAAAATTATTCTGAAAAAGTGCTTCATATTTGGGGTGGGAGCACAGCCCTTCTTTAAAACAGTAGGATCTATATGTAGTGAGGAAATCAGAAAGATGGTTATGATGTCTTTTGATTTTCCAGCTCAGTTGCAAAGTATCCCAAATTTCAGTGCAAGTATTTGAAATTCTGGAAGAAAATGACACATTGTGTACTTTTAGCAATGAATAAATTAAATATGAAGTATTTTATTTGAAAGTAAGGTCATGAGGCCATTTAACACGTTTCATTTTTAAAACCTAGGAAATAGCATTCATTTTATTTCAGGACTTGCTAAATATAATTCTCTGATTGAATTTCATGGTGTTTTGTTAAATATTTGTGTTTTGATACAATTTTTAGCCCAGATATTCATCATTCTCTCCTTCCTCATACTTTTTGCTCATCACAATATTTCTCAACTCACCCCTTATGATTTCTAACCATTTCATAAATGTAGACAAAGTATTTATTTAAAACTTAGCTATATATATTTATTATCAATCCACAGGATACTTTGATTGCTACATAAAACTCATTATTTCACCTTTACAAATTGTAAAATAGAGAAAAGGATAGGAAGAGCAAGAGAGGGAGAAAGTGAAAAAAGAAATGTGCCACAAAGATGTGATAGTTGCTGACAACCAAACACTAAATTGTAAAATTATAAATTTGCTGTAGAAAAGATAAAAAACTTGAAACAATTATATTCACTTTAGAATTTTACTTTGAATAAAATATTCCACTGTATAAAAAAATAAAAAAGCTTACTCTGGTTAGAATTAGGGTAAATTTTCTTTAAAACCTAGGAATTTGCATAATATATCTGTAATAGATTTTTTCCTATTGTACCACACAGATTTCAAGCATAGCAGATTAGACACAAATAAGACAAGCACTCTTCAAAACAATCTGTGAAATGTACATGGGAAGTTTTACCTTCCTTTTTAATTCATATTTCCAGATTCCAAGGCTACATATGTCAGAAAAGCCCTAGGAGAGGTCAAACCTGGAGCTTTAGATGTGCCATTCATTAATAAAAGGCCTTTTTTGCAAGTGCTTTTTTTTTTTTAAATAAGGTGCGAAAGCAGACTGCAATATTGCTAGTGCTGCATTATGTACATATTAACAATAGATTCTGCAGAAAAAAATATTCAGCGAGTTCACATTTTCTCTTTCCTTCCAAAAGTTTGAAGTTCATCATGGTGGCTGCAAGAAGTGAAGCGCTTCTGTTTGGAGGGACTTTGGGGAGGGATGCTTGAGGAAGCTTGGCAATACACTTCTAAGTGAACCTCCATTCCCTGGGCTGTAATCTTGGAACTCCAACATTCTGATGAGCGGAGCCCTGAGTTTAAGATGCTCCAGTGCTGGAGTTGATACACAGTCATATCCTGTACTATCCAGGTTTTCCTTAAATTTGTAGAGCTCCCACTAGATATGCTCCTCAAAGCCATGAGATGCCATTTGCCAGGAACATATCAGTGAATGGCTTAGCTGCTCTTGACTCTTGACTGAGTGATATCTGAGGTTTTCTTGATGACACTTGCCCGGTTTTCATGATCTGGAGGCCTGCTAGTGTAGCTGGTAGAAGCTGAGCAAACTATTTGTTGGAGAGGGTGATCTGGAAAAGGTGGCCATGAGCTGCTGTAAGGCAAAAGGGAGGTTTCTTCTTTGATGGTCACCTGGAGGTCAGGTTGGTTAGAAGTCACAAAGGTGCCCATACCAGGAAGCGGGTAAGGTGGATTCCTTGTGCCCAAATTGCTGTAATATTGCTTCCCACCGATGTTTTTCTTTTGCCACTGAAGTTGACTCTGCAGAGAAGAATTGATCAAGTTACTTATTTTGTTAACTCCAATAGCATGTGTGTATATTTATTTATTTATTTATTTATTATATCCTGCGCTTCTTCTGGAAGCTCCAATGGTGCTTCTTCCCTCATTTTAACCACAGAACAACAATCCCGTGAGTTACTCTAGTCCAAAATTTTCCAGACAGCTTTTTGATCCAGGATAGTATAACAGTGCTGAAAAAGGGGATTTACAACTAGTTCTCAAAGCTATGGATGTCATAGCCTCTCTTTGGTCACATGATCACAATTCAGGTAGTCGGCAACCAGAATGCATTTATGAAAGTTGTAATGTCCCACAGTCATATGGTTTCCATTTGCAAACCTTCGCAGTCAGCTTCTGACAAGCAAAGTTACTGGGAAGCTGGCAGGAAGTCACGTGGCAGTTGTGCAATATCATGCTTAATGACCAGAACCAGAAATTATGTTGTTAAATTGGCATGGTCACATGACATTTTGCTTACAAATGTGCTGCTTAGCAACCGAGTTGCTCATCCTAATTGTGGTCAGTAAGTGATGATTACCTGCATTGCACTGACACGTTAAAAAAAATCTAATATTGCTCATGTTATCTGTTCTATAAAAGAGCAAACATGTTGACAAGGACAGAATTCTGGCAGTGGTTTGTGAAATACAAAGTAGACTCTTCTTGCCTCAGTTGTGCACCTTGTTGCAACAAGTTCAATTTGTGCCATACAGATTTTGTTACTGGGACAATGTTTGTGTGCAAAGAAAAGGGCTGGACAGGTATTTTTCCTCAATGCATAATCTAATGGAAGGACCAGTTCGACATATTCACTAACCCAAATCCCGACATCTGATCCCCGTGCCTTTAGGGAAAGCTTTGCATGTGCGTACATGGGCACTCAAGAGTTCCAAGTCTTCAAGGTGCCCAGTTAAGTAAGGATCCTGTTCAGAGTTTCTATCAAACACCAGAAATAAAGCTCCTATACAAATCAGCATCATAGCTGATGAATGAAGAAGTATATTCAGGTAGTTCTCAACAACTACAGCTGAGACCAGAATTTACATTGTTAAGTAATGCAGTTGTTAAGTGCCTAATTTTATGACCTTTTTTCTGCCATGGATGTTAGGTGGATCACTATAACTGTTCAATGAATCATACAGTCATTAAACAAATTCAGCTTTCTCCACTGACTTTGCTGGTTGGCAGCCTCCTGGGAAGGTCACAAGTGGAAATCAAATGACCTTGGGATACTGCAAGATGCCAGTTGCCAAGTGCTCCAATTTTGATCACATGACCCTTGGGATGGGGTGACAGTTGTAAGTCATTTCTTTTCAGTGCCACTGTAACTTTGAACATTTGCTAAGCAAGTGGTTGTAAGCCAAGGACTTACTATAGAAAAATTAAGTGTCAGGTCTCTTCAAATTCAGGTCTATTCCCATCTTATATCAAATATAGCAAAGCAAATGTTACCAGGCAGGAAAAAAAAAAAAAAAACCCAGCAAGGGCAAAACGAAACTTCCCACTGTTTTAGCTGAAATTATTTCTCTCCATCCTGGAGAAGTTGCAGACTTCAACCTCCCAGTTTACCCTTTTCTCATTAAGTTCAGCAGAAAGCAAGAATGCTCAGCTTTGGCCCAGCTTTACAGAAAAGAGAAATGATCATTTGAAAAACAGTCAGATTTTTGAAAAAATAAAAAATAAACAGGAAAAACTACATGAAAAAAAAAAAAAGAGTTTTCTGGTTGTTTCTCATGCAACTGCTGAATAAGACTGGATAGAAATATTATTCCTTTGCCAGGTGCAATGTGTAAAAAGCTTTCCAGCATGGTTAGAACTTCCTGGCATTGTGTTCAAGCACATGTGAACTCAGGAAATCCGAAAGACACAGCTTCTAAGATATAACAGAAAAGCTTATACTAAAGTACCCTCCCCACTGTAGCTTTGTCTATATAAAAGATAATAGGCACTAAAACCTATTAAAATCCAAACTGGATGTTTAACTTTTCCATTAAGATTTTGTTGCTCAGTGAGTAAGAGATCATAATTTTATCCTAGGGGTTGATTTCAATTGCAATAAAACCATGGCTGCAAAGAATGAGAAGCAAGTTGACGTGGAAAATATATATTGCATCAAAATAGATAACTCAAACCATTATTAGGGTTGTCTGAAGTATTTAAAGGACATGCTTTACAAATGTGAAAACAATGGGATCCTTTGAAAGGCTCACAAGGTTGTTTCCAAGGCTATTTCACGTGACCTATGCCCATTTGTACTTCCACAGACAACTGGATCACCAGGGAAAGGCAGCAGCTATTGTGTATGCATACATCCATACAATACCACTCTTTTTTTCAGCCCATTCTTTAGTTCTATTAAACATCTGGAAAGTTTATATTTTTACATTTTATTGTGATATGACCTGTATTTGCGCCCATGTAATTTGCAAACCACTGCTAGCCCATATAAGAATTATGCCTTCTGTAGAGATTCACCAGGTTCAATGCCTTATAAATATTCAATGGCTAAAACTGCACTATAAACAAAAATGCAAAAATAGAAAAAGAATTGGCCCAGCTTTTTGTCCGTTGCATGTGCTACAAGAAGTCCGAGGATGGGCTGAAAAGTCACGCAGCAGCCAGAAAGGAATCATCTGTTCACTAATGCTGAAATATCTGTCCATCTGGTCTGGAAAATAGTCTCCTGGCTTTGAGCTAGATTCCTTTAGCTACTTCAAGTCAGCCTAATGCACAAACTGGGCAAGTAAATATTCAAATGACCAAACCAGGTGCTGTAATACTGCTAGAAGCTGCTCGATCTCACATCCTTTACAGAAAAGTCACTGCTGCCAAAGCTACAGTGAAGTTTTCCATAGAGGTTCTCAATGGGTTCACACGCTGTACTAAGCCAGTTTGCTTAATGAAGACTTGATGAGTCAATCAAAATTTCCTGACCTCCCACCATACAAAAGCCAAAACAAAGCAAATCACACTACAGTTTAGTTCTTTGCCTGCTGATCTGGAGATTAAACTGGTTAAAGTTTTGGGTATTTTTAAAGTTCAGCAGCAGAAGCTTAAAAAAAATACCTCTGCCCCAAGCAGCCATATCTATTATTTAATATACTTGTTGCATCTCTACTGAACCTGCCGTGATCCTTCAGTAGTCATAGCATTCCAGAAGCTAAAACAGCCTTTCCAACCTCATCCTTCTAGATCTATTGGAATACAATGTCCGGTCCACTGGTATCTAAAAGCTGGCTGTAATGATGAATGATGTAATGCTTTTAATAGATCTAAAGAAAGGGCTGAAAAAAAAGTCATATTCCTTTTTTGATTCTGTTTCCTTGGCTGCTGCTTATATATCAAGTGTTTAAATTTTAATTTTTTGTTTGTTTTATATATAATTCCTGCATATACTTTTTGTATTTTACAAGCTGTTCATCTTTTGTGGACAGGAAAACCTGGATACAAAATTATTGGAAATTATTTTGCCAATGCTGTGGCTTAACATATTTGCTCTTTGGTCATAAGCCACATGTCGCAGCAGAAGGGGAAGGGAAAATACTGCCCATTTTATTATTGATAGAGTTTCAAATGGCTCTTGTTAAGATTTTTAAATGCTTAAATGTTTTCCTGTAATCTTTACAGAATAATCTCATCAGAAACAATAATATCATAGAAGTTCAGTCATGACTTCTGGACCGATTTCAGCTGATTGGAGGATAATGGGTCAGCCATCACACTCTCAGCTTCTTCTTTAATAGGGCCAAGCTGTTTGAAGGAACGCATCTTTAGTGGCTGTTTTCAGGATCCCTTTCACCGATGTGACTGCTGAGGAAAAAGGAAAGACTCCTCCCTCTAAAACAAGGGGGTCAAACTCATCTCGTCATGGCAGCATCACGTGACATATCGGGACTTTCCCTCCCTTCGATAAACCAGGTGTGGGCGTGGCCACCGTGTGACGCATCTGGCCCGTGCGCCGGGAGTTTGGGAGTCTTGCTCTAGAAAGCCCAAGTAGTTCCTATTTTTCATCCTTTTGGAAAATGGGAAGACTTTTTTATGAAGAATTCAGATTATTCTACTACAGGTAGTCCTTGACTTATGACCACAATTGAGTCCAAAATTTCTGTTGCTAAGCAAGGTAGTTAAGTGAATTTTGCCCCATTTAATAATTTTTCTTGCCACATTTGTTAAGCGACTCACTACAGTTGTTAATAACATGGCTGTTAAGTGAATCTGGCTTTTCCACTGACTTTCCTTATCAGGTCACAAAAAATGATCATAGGACCTCAGGACACTGCAACTTTCTTAAATATGAGTCAGGTGCTAAGCATCTGAATTTAATCACGTGACCACAAGGATTCTGCAAGTCACTTTTTTCACTGCTGTTATAACTTCATATAGTCACTAAATGAACTGTTGTAGGTCGAGGACTATTTGTATTTGCCATTTCTTAATGGTACAATCATTTTAATACTGCTCATGCAATAAATTTAATGCAGCTTCCTTCATCATCTCTGTTACTATCACTGTATTAGTAGTATCTAAATATTATTGTTCACTTATAACTCCATCTGTCATAAGACAAATTGCAAACCTTTACAAAGAACAGAAAAGATATTGACTTCTAAACATCAATAAACCAAACAAAACTCCTAAAAGTAATGAAGAAAAGCCTATTTGTAATATTAAAAAGAAAACCTGGAAATATTTTACTTACTTGTGCATTTTCTTCATCACTCGGGATGCTATTTGTCGTTTCACTTTCTGCTGGACACAAGCAGGGATAAAAATATGAATTATTGAGAAGTATGAATAGCCAATATAAACAGAAATTCACTATAGTTATTTTGTTTTAACCATCATCAGCTACATCTTCTCATATCCAAGAAATGATTCTATATCAGCAGAGTAAAACCAGTTAGTTTATATTAACCACTGGAACAGAGGGCAAAGTAATCTAAAATAAGTAGTAATACATTTCTTAAAAAAAAAAAAAGATTTAGAATTGCTTGTATTGGAGCAGTTTACACTACTACTATGTGTAAACTTGCTTCAGGGTCAAGAGATTGCTCTCAACTATTCTTGCATTTGCAGCCATGATTGTTCATAGGGACTCTGCACATCATTTTGCCTTATCTGCAAGTAATGTTTAGCTCCATGCCCAAGAAATAATAAAATTTATTTTACTTGATAATGTTTATCCAGGCTTCCAGACTTAAGGCTGACTTTTTCAACTGATATCCTAGTAAACTGTGTTTTACCAGAACATAATTGGTCTTTGGCTGTATTATGATGTAACTGACACATGAAATGCATGACAAGTTTTTATGCATAACAGCAGATTAAAGTTAAATCACTGGTAAAGTAGCTGCATTACAGTAGGTCCCAGATTGATCTTAAATTTCACACAGAAAAATACAAAAAAGACCCTGATCTGAATGCCTGGAGTTCATATAAATGACAATGATTTCCATTTTCAAAGACAGATTAATATGTGTGTGTGTGTGTGTGTGTGTGTGTGTGTGTTTGTGTGTGTGTGTGAAATAAAGATTATATGTCCTTAAAATTAGCTATTGTCTTTAAGGAACTAACATTTTATTGACTGAGTTTTATTAAATTTAATATTAAGTACTTTTAAAGAACATTCAATTTTAGTGCCTATATTTGATTTTAACACAGTTTTCTTTCTTAGAAGAAAATTGTTTATGTTGATTACAATGGTTTTCCCAGAGCATTATTAAAATCTCTTCCAACTAACCTAAGCAGAAAAGGAAATATATATTAAAAATTCTAGTATTACAAAGCTACTGACCTGCATAGGAGGAGACAGGAGAGATTTGTAGTGGATATAGTTGACTCATGCAGCTGGGCTGGTCATCACATTCTGTTGTTACCTCTACTACTTGGCAAACATCTGGAGGATTGGAAACTATCATGTGATCCTCAGAACCAACCTCAAAGTGTGATTCTCCTACAACTGGATATGAACAGCAAATTATACTAATGATTACATGCAGTCATATGAACTAATAGCATATTTTTCTGTTATTCTGAATGCACTATGGTTTATTGTATTTTCATAAAATGAGAAAACATCAGAGAATCTAGTTTACAAAACCCCACTATACAAAGGGATGTTCGGGGTAACGCATATGGACAGTGAATATAAAAATATTTGATTTACTGGGCTATGAGTTCCTGAGTGATTCTTTTTCCATCACCACTCTGAGTCAGTCAGCTTACTATGAATATTTTATTACAATAGCATCTTAACCAGTTCACCCATACAGTATGGGAGGGCATCTCAAAACTCTGATGATAGATGAAGCTCGTATGTGTAGAGAGGGATATCTTTTTACTGTTGCAGGCAACATGGTGCAAAAGAGAGGGAGGGAGGGAGGTGATCATTGGCAAACCCATGGCTTGCAGAGGCCAGCATAACCTTTCCATCAAACTAATCAAAGGGAAAAAAATCTAGTAAATTAATCACTTAGTGTATTAAAATTAAGTTTTGTGAATGAGAACAGGTATTGTCATGCCCCTGGTGGAGACTGACTCTGAGGGAGAGGAGGAACAGCCAACAGGGAGTGGAAGTGTGGCTCCGGGGGTTGTGGAGGAGGCTGGGGAAGGGCAGAGGCTGGCTGGGCAGTCAGAGGAGGACCCAAGCCCATCCCCTCTCCATCCTAGGGCATGCAGGGAGGAGAAGATAAGGGAGAGACGTGGTTTACTGGGGAGGAAAGGGCCTTGATTCTCTTCATGGGCTGCAGCTGTGACAACTGAATGAGGATGGATATGCGTACGGGTGAGTGCTGGAAACAAAACGTGGAAATATCTCTAGTTTATTGTTCCTCCCTACGTTTGGCATCCTTCCCAGTGTGTGTTCTGATATCTGTGGACATCTTCAAGCCCTTATCTTGCCTGGTTTGTGTTGTTTTTCACTCTTTATAATTTAAATAGCATTTCCTCCTTCTTGTAACTGCTTGCGTGGGAATTTTTTGTCTCCAGTCAAGGATATTTGGAGCTTGGAAACAAAGTGAAGGAATACAAGGGGCTTCACCTGCTTTTTTATGATTGTGTTTATTTTGTATCCCACCCTGGGTCATCACAGGTATTATTATTTTTTCTTCAGTTAAAGATGTACGTATGCTGACTAAAGAATGATCCTGTTTTGAAGCACTCCAGCACATTTGTGGTTTTCAATACATTTGAACAGACTCAACAGACTCAAAAGATTTGTTAAGTTCATTCCAAGAGGAGGAAGAGAGAACAGGATTTGCATTTTTTCCTGACCACCCACAGCACATTTTCTCTATCCCTACCTCCAGGGTAGGTGTACAATATGTGTTCGAGGAACACTGGATTTTATGGATATCATATTTACAGTCATATTTACAGTACACCTTGGATCATTTTTCTATTGCCTCATTTGGGAATTATCAAATTAGAAAGGATGGGTTTTGGGAGCCCCAAGGGAGGGAAGGAGAATTTCTAAAGTGAGAATTTTCCCACTCAGGTCAGAATTCTCTCTTTAGCCTGGGTGAAAAAATTCTGAAAATCTTATGTTCAGGGTTGCCCATTCAGAGCCTGCTGATCTGCAGCTTTATTTATGTTCAGAAAGATACAGTGGAACTCATGATTAACTAACTGGTTTTAATGAGCCTGCTCTAAACGGGACTAAATCTGTGAAGAAATAACTGCTAGATAAAGAGTTAAGTTTCTTCTTTCTCTTCCATCATTTCCCAGGAGTTTTGTTCAAGATTCTTAACCAGGACCTAATTATTCTGTTGCTATGATACATCTGATATATTACTGTTCAGTATGAAAACTGAAGTTTAAAGGCCAAAATACTTGCTCTAGAAGTTTGCCACACAAGGAAAAGAATGTGCTGGTTTACTGGAGCTGCTTACCAACAATGTTTATTGTACTGTCAATTTCAGTTTTTATTGTCGAAGACAAGCAGTAATTAGAAAACTCTGGACTTGTTCCATTACTCAGCTGATAAGAGCACTCTTCTGGTTCTTGCTAGAAAGAAAGCAATGGAAAGAAATACATTGTTAGGCACTCAGAAATATATGTCATCTCCTGATCGATCATCAACTTAACCTATCCCATACCATTTCTCTGGCATTCTGCAAGCCAAGTTGAAGCAAACTAGTGTCTCATGCTGTCCAATCTCAAAACTGAAACACCAGCCATTTTATTCATAAAAATAGTCTGCATTCAGAAAAGCAATGCAGAGTTTATTCAGAGGTCTTCTATGAAATATACTTTGGATTAAGAAATTAACCTAGGTATCACCATCTCCAACAATTCTTATTAAATATTTATCATAGCCTTCCAGACAAACTCAAGAGGTTCTAACTAACATGCATGATCTTAGCAAATTTTGACTTTCTGCAAAATCAAATGCATAAAACTTAATAAGGCACTCTTGGGTATCAACCTCAGTGCAAAAACATCAGGGTCTTGCACCCACAAAATGTCCTTCATAGTAGTACATTGTTCTTTGTTCACAAGACTCTTCCAATCCCAGGGAGTGAGAAATGTAACATGGACAAGGAAATCCCCTTTCTTAATTAATTTCTGATCATATATTTGGTAGTCCAGGTCAAGAAAGAATTCTTGTGTTTGTTTTCATCACTTTGATTTAATTTTTTTGTTGCTTATCTTTTCACGGAAAAAGAAAGTAATAGAAATAAAACCCTCCTTCATTTTGATCATCAAGAAGTTCCTCTAATTTCTAGTTTGCTGATACAGAAGATTGTATGTATAATCCATGACATCATGAGAATGAAGAAAATGCAGTTCCCAAGTTAGACTCAACAATATGTCTATAAGGGCAATACTTATTCTGTTAACTAAAAGTATAATTTTAATAACAAATGATCATTATATTGAATAACTTGCCCTTCTAGTACTTGTGCCTTAGTCAGAGTCTTTAACAAGTCAGTACAGCCATCAACCATAATGTCCACCCACAGCAAATGTACAATATAATAAAAACATAGAAAGATGCAGCAAGAAAACAGAAGTCATAACTGATTTGGGTTTTTCCAATAAAACAAACATCTGCTGTCTGAAGCAGAAGCTTCATGCCTCCTCCTATGGCAGAATACTGTATTTCTGTTTCTGTTCCTGAACCCTGCAAACATACTATTGAAACTGTGTAGATAACGCCCATCAACATTGGAAAGCACAGTCAGATAATTGCATAGGCTGTTGCTAATGCCACATATGCTAACAAGAGGAAGGGGAAAGGTCTTTTCCCTATTTAATTCCTTGTGCAGAATATATTATGAGAATTAACCTTTCAAAGACAAAACCAATTATGTTATACACAAGCAACTGGCAATTATCACTTTGTGTCCGCCTAGAGCAGGGGTCCCCAAATTTGGCAACTTTAAGACTTGTGGACTTCAATTCTCCAGCTATGCTGGCTGGAGAATTCTGGGAGTTGAAGTCCACAAATCCTAAAGTTGCCAAGTTTGGAGACCTCTGTCCTAGAGAGATTTGAGTGCCACACATACTTTTCTGATCCCCTTAAATGCAAGATCACCACCCATCATGGTGCTATTTGCCATGAGTTCCGTAACTAGAAATCTGGATAAGTGTCAATATTTTTATGAGCCTGCAGAATAGTCTCAATCCAATGGTTAGAAATATATTTTGATAGGAGTGTTTTATAATAAATCAGCCATTATTACAACCTAAAGCAAACAATATCTAATTCTGCTACACTTTGGTTTTCATTTCAATAATCATGGATGTGAGAAAAGGAGACTCATTAGAAATGCAGTCTTGGAAAAAATAGATTATATTCCTTCCAGTCACATGGGGGAAGGTAAAATGTGAGCCTCCTCTCCCATAGACCATTGCTCCTGAAAAGGATCAATCTTCACCTCCGATTATTTAAAATAAAAAACCAATTACTTTAAGCATATTTTGCAGCTGGGCCAAGTATTATGTCTGAACGAAGTTTACTGAAGAAAATGTCTGTTTAGTCCTTTTGATAAAAAATGTTAATAAACTGAAATAATTTTTCAGAATGTTTTAATCCAGAAATGACATCTTCTTTAGCCTTGAAATGATAACAAAAAAAAAAAAATACCTTGATTTGTTTAACTTTATCTTCCTTGTCAGACTTTGGTTTTTTTCCTGTAGAAATGTAAGAAAAGGTATTTACAGTCATTTCCTGACAAAAATTAAGTCCATTATTTGCAAATAAAAGATTTTCACTTGAATTTAATAGAATAATCAGGTTTGAAAAATGCTACTTGTTTAAATCATACTGGAAATACTTGAAAATACACAAACAGAACTGACATTATTCTCTAAGATCCCCCATGTCAATGAGGAAAGTGATCCCTCTCTACATTAGGAATAAAATAGTTGGTATTATTCTTTTTCTTTTCAGTTTCTCGGGTTATCTTCCAAAATAATAAGGCACAATGCTTTTCCAACCACCACCTGCCAAACAAGGGGGAAAAAAAAGCTAAAATTTTCTGCAAAATTTTATGAGATTTTTTTCTCATTTCCATTTATTCCATTCATGTCAGGAAGGTGAACAAAGTATCACTTAGGCTATCACGGTTTTGATCCTTCCGCTTTTGACACAAACTCATATTATTGATCCATCAGAAGGGGATGAATGCCAGGGTCCTTATCATCAATTACAATATTTTCTATTCTGACTAGCAATGAAAGACTCTTCCCCATTTTCTGAAAAGGATCTTTTTTTAAAACTGGGGATGCCAGGAATTAATTCAGTACTATCATCTGCTGGGCCATGCATAACTCTTCATTTCTTCTTTGGTTATCGGTTTTAACAATAGAAAAAAAAAAACCATGAAATTTGATGATGTCATATGAAGTGCTAACAGAACCAAGACCATTTCTGCTCATCTGTACAGCTGAAGGGAAGGATGTTTCAGTATGGACACGAGGACTTTAAAGACTTATTTTTATTTTTCTTCTTCTTAGGTGGTTGCATTCATTTAGTAGATATGCCTGTGACCAAAGAAAGAATGCCTGCCTGTTGATCCAGATGCATCTGATCTGTCTTTCCCCAGCTTCCCCCTCTGGTTTCCTAAGTGTATTGAGGCTGTTAAAGCTTTGTTTGTTTTGATCAAGTGGGAATTCTGTGAACTGGAGTCTTGATATTTTGGGAAATCTTTAAAAAGCAGTTAGCTGTTGTCCAACAAGTTACTAATTATCATAGTCCTTCTTTCATTTACCTTTCTTAGAAGGCCTCTCGGATAATGGCAGCATCCGATACACTCTGAAAGCATTGTTCCCTTTCTTGATGCTTTTGTCTTTAACTTCTTCTATGTCTGGCAAGGAGTTCATTGCACATCGAAAATTGGCCTTCCATGTTTTTGGATCTGCTTTATCGACTCCTGGCTGGTACTTTCCTAAGCAAAAAGGGAAGAAAAAAATTATTGGTAACCAGACTTTATCTTGAAGTGGAAGAGACTGCTGTTGCAACACCGGTTTAAAAATCAATGATTAATTTGACGGGGGAGGGGGAGGAAATGCAGTGCAAACAAAGGCCACAGAAAGACAGGAACTGTGAAAAAGTGATAGTTTTTTTCTTTAATTTAAAGTATTTGTGTAGCAGTTTCAATAAAAAGGTAAGGGACGTTTCAACCGAATAACAAACTTGGGAAGGACCTTGAAGGTCTTCCAGTCCAACTACCTGCTCAAGCAGGAAACCCTATATCATTACAAACAAATAGTTGGCCAATCTCTTCTTAAAAACCTCCAGTATTGGAGCGCCTACAACCTCAAAAGGTAAGCAGTTCCACTGATTAATTGTTCTAACTGTCAGAAAATTGGTTGGTTCCTTCCTTAATTAATTTCCATCCATTGCTTCTTATCCTGCCTTCAGGTGCTTTGGAAACCTTCAAGTGCTTTTAGAGATTTTCTGAAGTCTATAACACCATTGGCTTAATCTACCAAAACCTATTCCTAGAAAACTTTAAATGAACAAACACTGAAGAAATGTAAGAGTTAACTGGGCTGCACACTGCCAAGAAGGGTTCAGCATTAGCTGAAGGTGTCCTGGTTGGAACCCAAGTTGTTCCATTGCCTCTGTGGATGTGGTATCGACAACCACTCCCAAGGCAGAGACTTCCTAGAGCCCATTGAACCAACTTCATCCTTACAGATGTGTCCGAGTCCAACTTCTGGAGAAGTTGACTGTTTTCTGCACCTGCCCAAAGGCCAAATATAACAAAATGCTTTTTGTAGGCCACAAGCCTATCTCCGTGTTTGTGTAGTAGTTCTTAAGTGGAGCCAGAGGGCCGAATCATCTTCAGCATATGGATCGGGAGGATTTTTTTTCATTTGGTTTCACAACTCACGTAACTTTGCGATAGAGAATCAGAACCAATACCTTTTAACCTTTACAGCTACAGAGTTCTAGATCAGTGGTTTTCAACCTGGGGGTCCACAATGACATCACAGAGGGTCCGTGAAGGCTCGAATAAATGTTATGATTTAAATGTAATGAGTTAAGTCTTGGTGGTCCATGGCCACAAAAGGTATTTAAAGGGGATCCATGGTGAAGAAAAGGTTGAGAAACACTGTTCTAGACAATCAAATCAGCAAGTTTCTCATTGATAGCCTATATTTACCCACATGTGGTCCCAGCAATCAATTTTCAGGAGCAAAGCACACAGACATATCTGATATTTAAGTGACTCTGCTATACTTCAAGGACTCTCTTTCCCAGTGTTTCTCAACACTGGCAACTTGAAGATGTAGGGACTTCAACTCTCAGACTTCCCCAGGCAGCCAGCCATGTTAGCTGGAGAATTCTGAGAGCTGAAGTCCACACATTTTCTAGTTTCCAAGGTTGAAAAATACTGCTCTATCCATTTGAAACAGAGAGGGCACTTTAATTTACTCTACCATGTTTAGGGTACTAAGGAGTTTGACTACACAGGACAGCAAAACAGAAAGTAGTATCAATGAGAAAAATAGAGAAATTCAATAAGAAATTGCCTCAGTAAAAAAAAAGTTTCCATACCAGTGTGAATGGCCCAATTCCGAAATAAAGGAGCATCTTTCTCAACATCCCACCCATGACGTGCAGCATGCATCCAAGGAATCTGAAAAATCTTCTTTTCCTGAGGGGTGGGGTGGGGATCAAGTAGGACACATAAAGAATTAGCTCACAAAGTTAAATCTTAGATACTTACAGCAAAGCTTGACAATCAGTTACCCAGGATCATCAGAATGTTTAAGGACACATCTCTGGATCATGTCAGGCTCTTTTAGATCTCTGAATATATTTTTAAATATTTTACTTTTTTTAATGACAATTTGACATTTTGCCTATAGCATTTACTTTATTTATAATATTGCTTTTTTTGGTTCACATATCACAATCAGCATTCTTAAAAAAAATGATCACTGTGATGGTTGCAATCCACTTTTTTTATATTGGGTTTAGAAGAAGGAAGACAGAGAGAAGCTGAGATGATAAGGGTATTCTGGGAGGGCAAGCAAGAGATGATAGAACTTTTAAAGAGGTGTTTTTCAAACTTGGCAATTTTAAGATGTGTGGACTTCGATTCTCAGAATTCTGCTCCTGGTTGGGGGATTCTGGGAGTTTAAGTCCACATGTCGTAAATTACCAAGCTTGAAAAGCACTTATTTAAATCTTTAAAAATGAGGATGCTGATGAGACAGCTCTTAATCATTTCAAATTGTGGTATTCTCCCAAATAATATACAATTAGCACATGATACGTGAATCAATTAATATTAAGATTGATGTACTTTGTGTTATTACACTTTACAAAACATTTTTAAATTTTATAGGCTTCTTGAGGAAACTTTCCTCTACTTCCCTCTACTTAAGGGAAAAGATTTAGCAAATCCCACTGATCTGTTTAATCTATCCCAGAATTCATATATTAAACACACAAACATTATAGGAAGCATCATTCAAAGAGCCAAATTAAAATCTTCCTCCTTTTTATAGAGATCATGTGACTGGATACCTCCTTGTTTGTTACAAAAAATGGGGAGGCAAATTTTCTAGATACAAGTGAATCAGGTGACTGGCTTATCTCAGCTCTATAAATCAGGATTATAAACAATGGCTTGACCAAAGTGATCATAGTGTTTGTTATTGAGGCTAAACAAAGCATTTGAAAAAAGTGCTTTTTGTGTTACTAGAAGTGAGGCTTCCCTTTCCTGGAAAATTAAAAGCAGTCACATCTTTTGGAAGACTCAGGTCTGTGCATATCTGGACTTAGTCCCAGAAGAAATTCTCTGTGTGCATGGATGGACAGGCAGGAAGGCAGGCACACACCACACCAAGAGGCAACCTTCTAGGCAGCAAACAACAAAACAAACTTTCCAAAGCATGTGGCTCACTCATTTCGGTTGTAGTAACATACTATAAAAAAAAACATTCCTTTGAATGCTCTGCAGCTTTACTTTAGAAAAGACGGTCTGGTTTATTTCTCACTGCTTAGAAATGCAGGCTCGCCTTACCTCATTTAGCCATTTCAGCCCTGGAATTTTGTTTGAATTTATTTGTTCCTCTAGCCATGGCCGCATTCGCATTCTTTCCACAGGCATTGTTTCCTCTGCAAGAAGAGGAAGTTCTGATTATTTTGAAAGCCAAATTCATATTTCCTTTTGATTACCTCAAGCCAATGAATGATAAATGTTTTGATCTAGAGTAAAACAATATCAAAAGACTGAATCTTGGTTAATCTTTTCTGAATGATTGTTTAGCCCTCACGAGCATTTACTTTATACTCAATCAGTAAAATGTCTACCACTCTTGACAATTTTCAACACTCATCCAGCTTAAGAATATCCTCATAAAAAAAAGTTAAGCCCTCTGAATCTTGCTGATCCTCAAGGAAAGAGCTCAGTGTACCCCCAACCTTTTTCCTAAGACATCAGTGAGACTTTTGGCATAGAAATGTATATATACATAATTGGGAAAATATGTTAAAGCGAAGACTGGTAAGGTTTCTAACCTTATACCCTGTAAGCTTATACACTCACTGGTAACTGGGAGTTATCCCAGGAACTCAGTCCGAGTAGCCATTGGTGAATTAATGTTGGATCAGATTGTTGGGCCCTTTACGCTCTTCCAAGAATAAACAACCTATTTTTATTGAGTTTATTGAGATTAGAATCACTTATCAGGTACCATAAACCATAACAGTGTCCAGAGAGCAAACAGGATAATAAATTGTGTACTTGCAATGTAATTCATCAGCAAAACAATACCATAGTTACAATATATGAATCAGGAATGTCATAATGGATGGATGTTGTCATGCTTCAAGAAAATAAACTGATATGCTGGGCTAGGCTGAATATAGCACTGACCTCACACCAGATCAACACGTACAGTTAGAATGTAGACAAGTAAGATTTCAAGAATTAGAACATAACCTCCAGTGTGTTTTCCTTGTTTAGTCAAAAAGACACCAAACATAAATTAATTAGTATAGCATTGTTCTAAAACAAAAAAAGGAACATGTTTTCTGCTGGCTTACCATTTTATACATTAGTTCGACTACATCAAATAGCTGAAGAGCTTCAAAGCAGCTCCTATTCCTAGATGGCTCCCATAGGAATGCTTAAGGCAGGGGTTAGAGAAATGCAACTCCCCAGAGGCTGTCAGATTACCCTTCTTTCCAAGCCCTAGCCAGCATATTCAATTCCAGGGATAAAGGAGGAGGTAGCTTAACAATTTTTGGACTACTATATGCCTACTGCTCATGTTTTAGGGGGAGCGATTTTCAGGAAGGAATAACAAACTGTTTCACATGTAGTGTTAAATTAAAGTATTAATTTCCCCTCCTTCAGAGCGGGCCTGAGAAATTAGAAATGTCCCAAAGGTGCTTTACAAGAGACAATTGGACTTTCTTTGTTTTGTTTTGTTTTTGAAGATGCTTCGCTTCTCATCCAAGCAGCATTTTCAATTCAGAACCAAAGAAACCTCTTGAACGAGAAGGGAAATATTTTCAAGGAAAAACAAAGGAAGGCCAGCTGCCTCTTGAAAAAGCACCTTTGGGACAACCATGACCCGCATGGCTAAAAATCTCCTTAGAAATCAATTAGAAAGTTACTTCTGCTTGTAAAGTAGCGGAACTTTCTACAGGGAAACTATGTTTCATTTATGATTGCTACAAGAAGATTAGGATTTAGCTGTGATTTATGACTTGGTTTATTAGTAAGCTACAGTTTAAACTAACCAGAATGATAACTTTGGAGGAAGCCTAGCTAAATTAAAACAAAAGCAAAACGTTTCTAATCTTTCTGCCACAATATTTAGAAAATACAGGTGTGCAAGGCCAAAGCTTCCTGCTCTCCATGCACTTAGGTTAGCCAGCCCTCCTATTAGCTTTGTTGTACATCCACCTAAAGCTCAGTTTGTGTGATGGAAGTTAGACTTGCAGCAGCTGGGGTGAGGGGAGATTTGGACAAATCAGAGCTTTCCCAGAAAAAGATCCAGACCAAGAGACTGCACAGTCCCAGGCTGGATGAGGAAGGAGGGAAGAGGTTCAGGGTAACCACTGTCTAATTCTAATTTGTCAGGATATGTCTAGCTTCAGTTTGTCAAGATTCTATCCACTGGGTGTAAGCAAATAAAGTCTCATCTTTGGGCTCAGGCAGAACCAAACAAAATGATTCAAATGACTCAAGCTATTCAGCGGCAGTTGATAATTGTTCTGAGTGCCACCCATGCTTATTCTTACAATATGAGTAGCTATGTAGAACATTTAAGGTAAGTAAATACATAAATAAATTGTACTCTCCTCCCTTTTCCATATCCTGAAAACTAGTACAGAAAGGTGTAGCTACATAAGTTAAGTAGAGCATCTCAATACCTTCTCTTCAGGTCAGAAGAAACACTTGAGACAATTTTACAAGCAAAGTTGTCACAAGTGGGAGAAACCCTGTTTATGTCCTTGGAGCATTTCCAATGATCTCATACTACCATTACCAGCAATTTGCCACTAATATGCTGGAAGAAGGAAAACATCAAGTTGATTAGCAAATCTGACAATGAGGGTTTTGAGCTTTATTATGGCTGTGTTTTGGATGAAAAGCAAAGGAGAGGTTGCCACCCAGGCCATGGATTGTGAATTGCAGCAACGTGGAAGACCAGCTGGCTGGGTTTGGGATCAGCAAATTCAATGACCTGAAACGCAGTGTGGTTTAAGGATAGAAGAACAAGAGTCAGCAGAAGCATGAAGAGGAAGAAAGGCAACATTAGTAGTACTTGCTGGTTTCCTGTGACTCCCATGCTAGGATAGCAAAAATTGAAAGGTCCACCATATGCTTTACTGTACATGAAATAAGTGATCTATTCTGTCATAAAAACAAGGTTGTCCCTTTGGAGCAGCACCAGGAAAAATAGCTGCCACTCCTGCCTTCTTTGAGAGATTTGTGCAACCCTAAGAAATTACCCCCAGCCAGATGCTGCATTTATACTCAACTAGAGGACAGCTGTGTTTTAACTGTGAACAGTCCTTTCTTATCATGCTTTCCATTACCTTTTCAAGCACTTATAAAGCAGAACATATTTCATCTGTAACATGAGAAATGGGCCTCAACAAGTGCATATACTAACAAGACTATTAAGGCAGCTGTGTCAAGAAAGACCCAAAGCATTTACAATTTTTATGCAACAGCAGCTTTGGAATGTTTTCTTTCTGTACATAAAAAGCTTGTTGCATAAACTGTTTCCCCACAAAGGCCTGGTTCCTGTATTAGAATTCTTTCTACCAAACAAACAAAATCCTGTTTTACACAAGTCCTAGTAATCAGTTATTTGCACACTGATTAAAGAAGTTATAGTCATGCAGAGCTCCCTTACTACTTCCCAAACCCACAAGGAAATCCTGCTTGCCATAGCCTAGTATTTCCTAGTATAACAGAATGGGATAATATTGCCTTATTCCTGGTTAACAAGACAAATTGATAAGACAGAATTCTGACTTATTAATCAACGTCAAGCCTTTATTTTTTATGTAAATATGATGAATAATTACAAGTTAAAGATAATGGTAAAGGTTCCCCTCGCACATGCATGCTAGTAGTTTCCAGCTCTAGGGGCTGTGCTCATCTCTGTTACAAAGCCGAAGAGCCAGTGCTGTCTGAAGATGTCTCCGTGTTCATGTGGCCGGCATGACTAAATGCCGAAGGTGCACAGAACGCTGCTACCTTCCCACCAAAGTGGTCCCTATTTTTCTACTTACATTTTTACGTGCTTTCGAACTGCTAGGTTGGCAGGAGCTGGGATAAGTAACAGGAGTTCACTCTGTTACATGGTGCTAGGGATTCGAACCACCAAACTGCTGACTTTTCTGATCGACAAGCTCAGCATCTTCGCCACTGAGCCACCGCATCCCTATTGAGCCACCGCTTACAAGTTAATGTAAGTTAACATTCTGAATCAACATTGGAGCACAGCAAGAAAAGGGAATAGAAATTCAAGGAACAGGACCTCCAGGGGTTTTATATTCTAGGTTCATACACATCCCATCATGGCTACTTGTCTCCATGTATTTGTCATTAGGTAATTATTAATTCCCACAATGGGCATTATAATTTTTAAACTGATACTCCCATAACATGGAAATAATGTCAATCCTTTGTTTTCAACTGTAAAAAATTAATTGTAAACAATTATGCACAGGGGACAAATTCCTTGAGTATCCAATCACACTTGGCCAATAAAGAATTCTATTATTTTATTCTAATATCTGGAAGGAGAACTCTGTCAAAAAAAATGGGAGGCAGCATATTCTTTTTCTGTAAAGGAGAGGAGTAAAATTCCTGATATTATAAGCGTTCATATGAAAATAACTTTTTAAATATGTGGGAGCAACCACAAGAGTTGTATTTAATTCAAACATTGGTTTCCATTCCATGACTTTAACTGGCATTTACAATGTTGCCTCCAAGATCCTAGGTGAAAGCCAAGCGGGTCTTCAGGGCAAACAATCAATTAATCAGAGGAAAACGACCCTTTTGCTCCCAAAGGGCAACCAATTGACACCAAACAAATGGTGAACTTTGCACTACCTCAGCAGTGGCCTTAGATATCTGGAGGCTTAAATAGCAGCTTAGGTTTGTCGGATGCAGGTATTATTATTACATTAAGATTATATTGGTAGCCCAAGGGAGGTATTCTCTATGAATTTGTCAAATGTCCCCTTAAAGCCATATAAGATGTTACCTACTCCACATCTTGCAATAGTGGAACCAAAACTTGGTGAGGGGGGTACTTTGTTGTCTGCTGACACCAGTGTAGCCATCACACTTTCTGAGGGTTACTTACTATCCTTACCCATAATACAAATGAGTATATTTTGCATGTACCTAAAGGGCCCTAGGGATTTCAGTACATTCACCTGCCAAATGGATATTATGACCCAGGTAAAAACATAGAATGCATTCAAAACTGAGGGGAGGTTGAACTAAAGAAGCTTAAGCTACCTTCTCAAGTGAGAGCTCTACAAAACACAAAGTCTAAGATGAGACCCCCACAGACTGCTATAACTGCTCTTATTAAGCATCCCTGCCACCATTTGCATTCAGGGTATGAGGCATT